GGGGTGTGGGGCAGAATCAGGGAGGAAAACCCTCTTTGGAAATTGTTAATAAGGTGAGGAAACTCCCCTCACATCGCAATGGGTGGTTAGATGTGTCGATTTAAAACCATCTCCTAGCTGTTCCTTATGACTTAGTTTACATGCATATTCCTAGGATCAGAATCTGATTTTATTGACACTTCAAAGTCTTCCCTATCCATGCTTGTCTGCATTGCTGGATATGATTAACATGGGAATGCTTCCTCCAGGTAGCTTGTTTGTTGGTAATGGTCCCTAGTGCCTAGAGAAAAGGTGTGGATGAGACACTCTGTACCTGGGCTAAAGAATGCCAGGCAAACTTACAGAAATGTGAACTAGTCTTTTACTTGAGGAAAAACCTGTAACATCATCTCTGCCAAGTGGGCAAAGCTGGCCCTGGATAAAGAATTGATATGAAGGCAATATTAAGATTTGAACACAAGTCATAGTTCACCAATAGCAGCAAAATTGATGAAGATACTGTGCTCTGATCCCATGAGTTGCCTTAGGTTGAAGCAGCTACAAAATTGATGATAGCTGGTGTCCTACCCTTAGTCCAGATCATTTCAAACAGTTTATGTTTGAGATCACCAAGTCAGCAAAAGAGACTGGCCTTTCACCACAAAGTCTGGCTCTGCTCTTTGGATGTAGACTCTGAGATGGAAGAAAATAAAATTTCACAATTTTTCATTTTTGCTCTCCAGATAGAATTGGGCAAACTTAAGAAATGTGGTTATAGGGACTTGCTGAATCAGCGTAACTCCTGTTGAACACAAAACAGTGTTTGTTTTTCTGACAGAAAAGTTGACTTACCTTTTCAACTGCAGCTGCTTTCACATAACCTGCAAAAGCAAACTTCCCTTAAGGTATATGAACTTCTAGCACCTAGAAATGTCTTCCTCCTCTGGATCATTTATAAAACTACATAAAGCTTAAAAATATTTTACAGTGTATTTGAAAATACTTTCTGCTCCTTTCAAGAGAGTGACATCTTGGCTACTGGATCTGTACTTACTAGTTTTTTTTACCCATCTGTTTCAGCAACCAGCCCATCCCTACCTCCTGCTCCACCAGCTGTTGCTTCACCCCCAGCACCCCCCAAGACCTCTGCAGGTACAACTGACCCCGAAGAAGCAACGAGGCTGCTGACTGAGAAGAGGCGCCTTGCCCGTGAGCAGCGGGAAAGGGAGGAGCAAGAAAGGAGAGAGAGAGAAGAGCTTGAAAGGTAATTGTAGACCTCTCCAGTGGAGAAGGTACATTTTTAGCAGCTTCCTGTATATATTCTGCTGTTGTATTGTTTCCTCAGAGATTAACAAAGCTGTACTTGTTTGTTCCAGCTAGAGAACTCTGTACAGCTGTTTTCAACTTCGTGATTTGCATAATGTCTCTTACTTTAAATTGTAAGATCTTTGCCACAGGTAGCGTTTTAGGTGTCTAACCATTGTGACTTAAACCTCTCTGTTTTCTCATTTAAAGACACCCCCACAACAATTTTGGAGGGCAGCAAATGAGTAGCCCATTTGGATACTTACAGCTGTGGCTACAGCACAAGTTGAGTGCTTTTTTAGAGGAATCCATACGTCTGGAATTTGTTGAACTTCTTGAACAGCTTTGCTAATAGGAACAAGGCTGAGCCAGTTAAAATAGGCTGGCTTTCCAATAGGCTAACAATATTGACCCTCTCAAAAAGAGTTTTAAAGAAAAAAGCTGCTGTGGCATAAGAGTAGTAAGACTGACAGATCAAAAATAAAACTTAAAGAATAATCAGTTTTCACAGTGAAAGGAGTTTCCAGTGTCTGTGCTGTGCCTTCATAAATGAATTTGAAAGGACTTGAGGCCAGTGAGATAATGCTGTTGTGAGTGAATATTGTGAATCTTCTGTGAGATAAGGCAGTTATGAAGAGGTTCTGAAATACCTTATATCACTGAGATACAAAATGGAAGCTGAATTGCTGTACTGCTAAGAATAAAGGAATACGTATAGGAAATAATCCTAACTTAACTCCTGTGTTGGTGGACTCTGGGCAAATTATTTCTGAGGGAAGAGATCTTGTTTGGAGTTTAATGTATGAAAATATCAGGTGAGTCATGGTCAATAAAGTAAATGAACTAAA